TGCTGGATGATTAACATTTTGGTCTTATACTCTGTAAAGAATTCTAAACCATTCTGATGAAAATATTAATTTTTCCTCTTCTATGCCCTCTTCTCAGTATGTTTATACTGTATTTACTTTATAGTATTTTAATCAATTGTTTATGTTCCTGGGTTCCTCCGATTTTGAGGTTCATAGAGGCAAAGTCTATACGTTATACATTTATGTGTATCAGTACTTGGTCAAACCTGTCACAGGCAGTTATCATTTAATAAATCCTCATTGAATAAATACATGGAAGAAAGTGTGGTTCTTGCTATAAAGCATAGGAGAAAAACATTCAAATCTCCTTTGTAATGTGTCAAATACATTTAACTGATTTCCAGTTTCAGTCTAGGGAAAATACCTTGCTTTAAACAGATGATCTGATTGATTCTTAATATTGATGTTTTGATAAATTATGTCTAAACATTTTTATCTTATTTTTTAATGTATTTAGATTATTGCTGTTGATAGTATTTTGAATCAATAACCATTAAATTAAATTTCTCTCCCACTATTTCATTATTAAAAATTGAGTATTTTTTACAGGTCTTTGTATTGCCACCCTGAGCACTGCAGTATTGATACGAATTTTGACTACATTTCTGATGGTGTGTTTTGCTGGGTTTAACATGAAGGAAAAGATATTTATTTCTTTTGCATGGCTTCCAAAGGCCACAGTCCAGGTAATGATGGATAGCACGGCTTAGCATTTTATCTCCCATTGTTATCTGATATCTTGATTTTTTAATAAGTGGGCTTACTCAAATTTGGTGAAAATAAGTAATTAAAGTTTGATTTATGAAGAGCTTATGCTAATCTGCTCTTTAAAAGTTTTATTTTCGGTGTATTGATTCCCTAAGTATGATGGCTCATTTAAATTATTTAGATCACCAGGTTTATTTAGCTCAACTAAAAATGCAATAAATGCCTACATTACTAGAAAGCAGTAGAGGCAAGAGACAAGTGTTTGAATTTTTATTAGCCAGCTCTCTCAAACACTGAGAAAGAAAGTTGTTAGCTCTTTTAATTTCAGTATCTTCCAAGAAGAGAGTGAAACAGAAATATCAAGGCCCATCCTAGTATTTGGTAATACTTCAGTTTTATCAATGTGATTGATGATCAGTTTTGCTTGACCACAGTCTTTATATATAGTGGAGAAAGACTTAACTGAAACACAATTCAGAAAGTGCTATATTGATTTCCTAGATTATTTGTTTATATTAAAGTTTTCAAACTAGCTGAACCTCCTGTCAAATATCTCAATCACGTGACCCAAAATTTGTGCACTCTAGTGAACCAGACACTAAGAGGTAGGTGCTTGGAATTACTGACCATGCACTTGGTAGAATGCCTGTAATTGCTACTTAAATTAGAACTGTGTAGATTATGATTTGTCACAAATATAATATGTCCCAAATTGTACTGTATATTTTCAGACTAAATATAGGAAATGAGATTTAATGGTTTCATCCCTGATGATTTTGCAATTGTTTAAATATACAAATTTCTATTTCATGAAATCAAAATCTTAATTTAGGGAGCTCTAGGGAATGTGTATGCTCTGTAACTAACTATATGCTAGATTTGTGCTGCTTAGGCATTATTCCAGAGGGTTTTTTTTTTCCCCCTCTGACTTTAAAAGGTGTCTGAGATATAAGGGCTAAGAAGTCTCTGAGGTTAATGTAGAGCAGTAAGTGGAATAGTTTCTCCCTCACTATCTTCAGCTTCCACACTACTTCTAGTAACTTTAGTAGGTAAATATAAAAATAATCACTCTAGCAGCTTTGATAAAAAAGACTTGTTCCTAAACATTAAAATTTGAAAAATGACACTTTCCTTCTAGCAAAACAAATTTTTTAATGGGGAGAAATTATCTAGGATGTCTTGAATAATGTATGCTCTGTGAAGCAAGTACTGTATAAATTTTTGTTTTTTCTCCTTTGCCACTGCACAAGAAACAAGGCTTTCTTATATGTTTTCTTCCATGTTAGTATTTTCCAAACTTTTTTGTTCATGTAATACTATGATACTATAATATATACTACTATATATATTGTATACTGAGCATATAAACAAACCCGAAAACATACATACACATATACACACAATAGAGAACTGAGAGAAATATACATCATAACATGTGCGGTGCTTGCCAAGAATTTATGAAATGTTGAACTGATTATGGGATTGGATAATAGGCAGTAGCAAAGATCCCTCAAATACAGGTACTAAATTAGATTTTTTTATTGCTCTCTCACCAACAGTCCAGCTTGGGCATTCCAGAGCTGGCAGGGTGACTTCTCTCCTCAGCCTGTGCCTTCCATCCATAAGTCCAACTTTGACCATTTCTCATCTAGTGGGGAAGGGAGAAAGAATAAGGCACAATTGTCCTTTTTTTTCCAGGGAACAATCTACAAGTAGAATTTATCAATTCTGCTCACCTCTCAGTAGCCAGAATTTAGATGCATAGCTTCATCTAATTGCAAAGAAGGCTAGGAGGAAAGTCTCTATTTGAACCAGCTAAAACTCCAGAGTTCTGTTACAGAAGAGAAAAGGGACATTCACTTCTTTGTGGGCAATTAGTGATGTCTGCCATTGTGTCTTGTGCACACTGTTATTTTCTCTTTTTCATTGTCTTAGAGGCTAATATTGTGTTCTGTGGAATAAGAGGATAAACAGATTGACTAACATTATTTTCCATGTGCATTTTGCTGCATTTTGCCTCTAAAAGAAAGGAAGAATTTCCATAAGACTTCCTAGTCTTATGGATAAATTTTAAATACATTTCATCAACTCCTGAGTTAAAGAGTTAATGCTTAATAAGATTAACTTCAAGTTCTGAAGATGCCTACCACTNTAAAACATCACCATTTTCCAGTAAGTTTCAGTGCATTTTTTTTCACCTTGTTCTTTCTAAATCCAAACTCCTAAAGCTAAAAGAATGAGATGACAAGTAACTTCATCTTTACTCAGGAGGAATTGAGTATATAGAATCATGTTACAGGTTCATTAATATCGTGAGTCTATATCCTCCATGTGTTTTGAGATATATTTGCTTAATATCTTTGTAAACCTACCTTATGCAAATAGGTACAGACAAATCATCATTCTTTCCCCATGCAAGGACAGGGAGAGTTTTCAGACAATCACAGCAACCTGCTATGGGCTTTGAACAAAGACTAATAAAACTTTCTTAGTTGAGCAAAAGAACAAGCAACTTGTTTTTGCAAATGATAAATTAATTCACCTTTTTTCTATGTGCTTGTCTTACCATTTTCCAATATTATCTTTAAACTTTTATAGGCTGCAATAGGCTCTGTGGCTTTGGACACAGCAAGATCGCATGGAGAGAAACAGTTAGAGGAATATGGAATGGATGTGCTGACAGTGGCATTTTTGGCCATCCTCATCACAGCCCCAGTTGGAAGTCTCCTCATTGGTTTATTGGGCCCCAGGCTTCTCCAGAAAGCTGAATACCAAAATAAAGAAGTTCAAGAAGAGGCTTCTATACAAGTTTAAAGGTGAAAAGAGAGAATGCTGAACATAATGATTGGAAAGCTGTTACCAGAGGCTGCATTTATCAGGAGGGATATTGAAACATGGGATGTTTAAATTTAAAAATGTAATAGGATCAAGTGTGGCTATTTCCTTAAACAGCATTTTAAGTGATTACCCTTCCCATGTGGGTGGTAGTATTCTACATCTCCAAACCTGATTTCTACCTTCTTTTTTTTCCAAACACCATCTCATGTCTTAATTTGCATAGGTACATACAATGTGCTACCACAATTTAAAATTCGCTTGGGAAAGGCCAGGTTCAGTGTCCTGTTCTGCTAGCCAACAGCTTACCCAAACTTACTGTTACTGCTAGTTTCATGATTCATGGTCACCTA